TAAGACAAACTGAGCTAAGTGTATCTCAAAGAACCAATGAATCGTCAAACATCTCTGGGAATGACTTCAATAAATCAAATGAATGTAGTATTCCTTCACCTAAGGATGATGGACCGAATTCCGATGTCAAGTGCCATCATCCAGATGTAAATGATGTCTCTTTAGATAAGAAACGAGCATTTTCAGCAATAGATGTGTCATGTTTATCTAACAGCTCAAGTTCTAATGATCATTCGTACGCCACACAATCTTTCTTTTCTACAAATAAACCTGGATTATTGAATTGTCAGTCTGTTGATAACATTTTGGATCTTTCGAAAACTGAACATGTACATTTCCGTGACGAAACAAATATCCTAGAATCACAGTTAAACAACCTACGGAGTCAGTCAGAAGCAGCATCCATTACAAAGTCTGATGGTTTATCTCCAAATGTGGAAAAGCTTATGTCTGCTTCTAAAAGCTCATTGTCTCCAATAAGAAAAGATTTTAACAAACCCTTACCTAGCCCCGTGGACTCTAGGAAGAGATATAATAGAGTTTCTCGTTCTGTAGAACCTGTGCGCAGGATTTTTCCTAAAGTAACAACTGCTCACAAAATAGATACAAGCAGCTTATTTGATTTAACTAAATTTGGAGAACTGCAATATTTAACACCGCATTCGTCTAAAGTTTCTTCATTTATTTCAGTTAACGATTCTAACAAAGATAACAAAATTGAATGTCATCAACCATGTGTGTTTTCATCTCAGCTACTTACATTTCGTATTGCTACTTGTCATTTGGATAGAAATGTCTCCTCAACTAGACACCATTTATCAGAACTACGACAAAACGGTTCCTCTGTTGAAGTATTCGAATTCACAGCAACACAAATGATGGAGAATGATCTAGATCAGTTAAATGAATCAAGCACAATATTTAAAAGTGATGAAGAAGAAACCATTGCTTGGTTTTCCATTATGAAAAAGCATGTACATGAACAAGGTATATTTGTTAAATAATATTCAAAAAGTTCAGTCAATGACTTGTGTTTTGAATACTAAAATGTGCTATTCTATTTTTATCCTCACTCTCTGTAACTATCTTCAAACAATAATTGCTTATTTTAAGGAAAAGATACTGGATATGATGTAGGATGAAAATAGATAATCTCTGCGTTTCAGAACTTCATATTACAACCAACGAACACCGTGGTAGGGCTGTGAGTGATAAAGTTCTCTTTCCTTCTCAAAATGGTTTCCCTACAACCTCAGATTTATACCCTTTCAGGTAATTCCTTTTTCCTACTTCCATTTGGCCGGGATACTTCATAATAGTGAAGGTGAACATCCGGTGCATAAATCGGTCTCATGAATGCGGAAAGTTTACCTGCAGAAATTGCGAAACCCTTATTCCAAACCAATGTTGTTAATTAGCCCACTTATTCAGAGGGAAGAAATGAAGTATAAATGAACGTTAATCACTAGCTAACAAAAAGACTACATGTGGCCCCTATTGTTTTATGTAATAAACCTTTTGGTTTGTACATATGTAGTGATTAATTTGTATTTTTCCATTCCAAAATCTCCTTTGTGTTAATGTTTGAAATTTTCGAATCGTCAAAGCAGTTTTATCAGAGTTACACTAAGTTACAGTAGGACCATCACTAACTTCTATTCTGAACCATTTCCGATTACATTTGAAGCCAATGTGTTGCACTATCTCTAGGACCTCAACCAGGGATTCGTGAAGGTTCAACAGAAGTCAGTCTTATATAACATTCTTTCATACCACGACACCATGTCATACACTGACCAACTCTTCACTTTTCTCAACCGGTCCCAGCATCGACAAATAATGCACGACATGAAATTCGTAGTACATGTCTAAGCCACCAGTGTTTCGAGATGGTGACACCAATTAAAGTATCGTCACTGTGTCCGAACACACGTATATATATATATATATATATATATATATATGACCCTACAGTAAATTTCTTTCTTTTTCCTATTTCTCTTAAATATTATAGAAATTTGGGGCTCTGAAGCTTTCTCCGAGACTATTAATATCCCTAAAAGTAAATCAAATTCTATTCGAAATACAAGTGCCCGTCGATCAGTAGCAATTCCATCTGATATTTCTTTTCTAACATAACATACCATTACTTTTGTAATTAATTATTCTACTTTCATTTATATAATTATGAGAAAACATAAATTTACAAGTTATTTTTCTAAAAGAAAATTAATTGTCATGTGTTTTATAATGTTTCTTTTGTCTACTAGATTCTTTTATTCATCTGTTTATTTATTTGTTTTAATGGTAAATAGTTATTCATTATAGTCCTTATGTTGTGTAAATAAGTAGAATCTATGATTTAGTAAACTATTTATTGTATTCTATGTTAATATTTTTGTTTTGTTATACCTTATACTCACAATTATCCATGTTTTCTATTTGTTTCCATTTTTTTGTATACAAAGATCTGGTTTTAGACGTTTGATTGCTATTACTTTGGCAAGTTTCAAAAGGTTTGAAGGTGATCAACAAACAATCAAATTCAAACCTTTTGAAATTCGCCGAAGCAATAGCAATCAAATGTTTCCATTTTGTTTTGTAAATTAACCTTTGGTTCTACTTTCCTATTTTAATTATTTTTTAAAGAAAAAAATACTAAGTAATTATTGATTAAAAACTAGCCAAATAATTGACTATTTCTAATTGTTTCGATTTCTATATCATTTAGTTGAAGTGTAATTTATGAATGGTTATGTATGTTCGTGATTGTGAAATACATTAAAAGTGAAAGTACCTACATTAATGTGATCTTTATTAAGTCATGTAGTTTCTAGTTTATGGTCATTTACTTCTCTTTTTACATAGAAGGTATATGCGACTAAAGAATAGTGATTACATGAGATGGTGTTAAATTTATAATCTAACCCTTCCTAACCATATATATCAATGCTAGGCAAAACTAACGTTTCAAGACTGACTTTCATCTGTTTTTTCCTGAATTAATGTGAATTTATTATCAACAAAACTCTGTGCAACAGAAGCAGAACATCATTTCCATAGCATAAGGATTGAGTTTCTTTTCATAAAATATATTCATGTTTGTTTTATAATAATACAATTTAAACAATCGCGTAGACGACTAACCATCTTATCTATGATGACCGAAAGTATTCAATCAGCACCATGGATTATTCTTTTGATAACTTTAATATTAAAAATCTAACCTTTCTCGTAGTTATCTTAAAGCAAGTGATTGTGAATTTTACAATTAATGTATAAATGAAAAATAATTTAAACATACGTTTGCATATTTTGTTGTCCTATAATACCAATTGATTTGTGTTGCATTACATGTTTAGTGACACTGTTTATAACTATTGACAATGGTATATATTCAGTGTTATGTTAACTGATTGGGAGTTTATGGTCATTAATTTTATGTTTACTAATAATACAATACCAAGTGAATTTAAACTTCACCCCATTTCACAAGCAGGTGGCTATCAGGACTCAGTAGCTAAGTGGAAGCGAACGGTACTGAGCTCGAGTCCCAGAGTGAATACCAACTCGGAGATGCAAGTATATCCGGCTAACGAGTCCCACATAGGACGAGACGCGCGTCCTGGATTCCACTGCTAGCCACTATTCATCTCAGCATATAATAATATCATTTTTGTTTTTTGTCACAAACAACAATAGTACTACATACAAACATAAAGATATATAATGCAGCATTTAGAATTGATCTAATTATTATTGATAGAATGATAGATAATAATCACATGATTCACAAGTCAGCAGTGAGCTTGGTAAAGGACAATATATGTCTCACAACATATGATTAATTTAGATGTATAACGTGAACATTGTGAAATTATATTGTGTAGTGGTGTAATTTTCAAGTTTCAGTGTACACCCGTAATCTAAGCACACTTTGTATGCTTGAATTTGTTAGATTAATCGATTTTTTAAGAGAAAAACCTGAGTGAAAAGTGTCTTTCAATTTTTACTTTGTTACACTTGGTGTAAACAACAGTTTTTTTAAAAATATTACTTTAAACTTTGTAAAATAAAGTTAAGTAATTGCATTATTTTGGTTACCAAGCCACTCTTTGACCATAATAGAATGTTCTATTTTTTTATAGAAAGACAACTGTCGACTGTGTTTTTGTAAAGACAAAATTATGGAAATTTATTCCATATTGCTAACAAACTATTAGCCTTACATCTACATCAAACAATTTCCTAGTACACTGTAAATATTACTTGCTGGGTTCAAAGATGGTTTTCACTGTGCTCGAGTTATGTGGATGAAAAATTACGTTTTCAACAAATTTCCACAAACACACCTTCCTTTCTGCTATTGGCTTAAAAGCTATTATTATTGTTAGCTCAGTCTAACTTCAAAAATGTACTTGCTTGAAATGTCTTCCCAATGCTTAATCGCCCTTACACTGGTGATCCAGTGTTCGTTAAACATTGTTAAATACGAGAAGTTATATCTGACGATGAAAGTAATCTGTTAAGCATACAAATACTCGGCATAATCAAATTAACAATCTCCTTTAAAACAGGCTGATAGAGTAGCGTGGTAGAGAATAAACAAACCAGTAATAGAAGTGATGTTTGACACAATCAAAAATTAAAGGTTATTTCATCGTAACATTTGGTGAGGAAAAACTAGTTTAAAATTATGGAAAGACAAAGTACGAGTTGTCTGGGACAGTTGACTATCCCTATAATAAATGGTAAACAGAATACGCATAGCAGTCGTAATCACAAGTTTTTGCTGTGATATTTAAGTAAACTACGAAATAAAATATGTATAGACGTTTGCTGTGTAATTATTAGTTTTGTGTCAACATAGGCTATGTTATTTAGCCGGATGGATGAATGAATTTCACGCCAAAATCCAAGACCTGTTTGCTTATATCTGATTATATCGTCCATAAATTATAGCCTCGCCTACATACAGTTATTTAGAAGAACAATTAAAATTCTGATATATTTGTTTATTTCATAAAGACAATAGATAAAATACAAATTGAGGATTAGTACAGCTTGTGATAAGTTCATCATCAATGAAATTGAGTAGGTATAAAACTTGTATAACAGTTATTTACTACAGACTGTTGTTCACTGTTCGCAGTGGATTTATTAGATATTGACCATAAACTATTTTCGTGTTTAACAGAATTTACTGATAATCGGCTTGCAGAATTCAACCAGTATAATTTCTTTTTCCATTTAGTTCTGATAAATTAATAAAAAAGAAATAGATACGAAATATAAGTGTTTTAATCGTTCATTTCTAACAAATGTGTACGTTTTAATAGTTGAATTCATGAGTCGATTTAAGCTAGGGTATCATTGAAAACCTAGGAGCATTAAACGGTCATTTAGTCATAGTATGGGACTCCTCAGCAGTGTGTATCCACGATCCCACATGAGGGACCCAAACTCAGAAACTTCAGTCAAATTACAATTAATAAGATAGATGTATAAACGAAAATTTGTTTGCACTGTTTATTCAGTTGGTAATAGCTAAGGTTACATCACCTAGTTCTCAATACTGATCAGATTCTATCAATCAAATTACAATACGGTCACAGCTCTTTGTTTGATGCTAATAGGGTTGTAGGGAATCTGTGGGAAATTTTAGATTTGGAAATTTATGTTAGTTATCGTTCGTCACCACTCTATGTCTGTAATCTCAAGGGTGCTGATATTTCATGCAGGATTTTAACCATTGTCATTATATGCCATGGTAAGAAGAAACACCTCTGATCACTCAGTGAAAATATCTCAGTTCTAAGTAAACCACGGTTTAGCTAGCTTATTGGTAACGTATCTAGCACCCATTTTATCCAATACATAAACTTTCGGTAGTTTTACTTACTTTCCAGTAAAACCCTTCTGTTTATGGACTATTATATTCACTACTCAAATTCTTTTAATAATCTTTCATTAAAAGTTGAAACTACACATTCAACACGAATAAAGTCGACCACCTTTGATGATTTTGTAACTCTCTTCTATTTTACTATAGACTAATATATGTATAAATAATTACCCATTAATATGATTGTATAGCTTAAGAAAATTCTATCATCAAAAACAAAGTCCTTATCACTAAAACATCATACTTTTTAGTGAATATATAGGTTTCTTTCGTTGTTTAAATATAACAGGCTTATTTACCAAAGAAACTAAAGAATGTGACATACAGTGGAAGAAATAGAAGACGAAAAGGTCATATACTTAATTAATAAATGATCGAGAATCATATTTCGTATAAGATACAGTTTAATTAAAGAAATACTCAATGGAGATAGATCTTCTTTGTCTAAGATAATTCATGTTACTTATATGAGGAATGTAAGGGAAGTCTAATATAGGTTTATTGTTACTTTGGTTCTAAGACATTTCTCATGATATCTCAAGTCAATGAATTGTAGGATTTGGAGGAGACTAATAAGATGGTTTGATTAAAATACCAAAATGTTACCTTTTGACAGCTATATGTAATGCCACCGTGCTATACCACTACTTGCTTACCTACGCCTGTTACCCGCAATGGAACATAGGCCGCCAACCATCATTTTCCAACCCACTCTATTATCGGTCTTCATTTCCAGTTCTATCCTGTTTTTATCCGTTCTTCTCATGTCTACCTCCATTTCTCGGCGTAATGTGTACTTTGGTCTTCCTCTCCTCTTCACTTGGCCTTGAGGATTCCATGTGAGGGCTTGTCTGGTGATGCAGTTGGGTGCTTTCCTCAATGTGTGTCCTATCCACTTCCAGCACTTCTTCCTGATTTCTTCCTCCACTGAGATCTGGTTTGTTCTTTCCCACAGTTGGTTGTTGCTAATAGTGTCCGGCCAACGGATCCGAAGTATTTTGCGTAGACAACTGTTAATAAACACCTGTATTTTCTGGATGGTGGCTTTCGTAGTTCTCCAGGTTTCTGCCCCATACAGTAGAACCGTCTTGATATTTGTATTGAAAATCCTGACCTTGGTGTTGGTTGACAGTTGTTTTGAGTTCCAGATGTTCTTCAGTTGTAAATATGCTGCTCTTGCTTTACCGATCCGCGCTTTCACATCTGCATCAGACCCACCATGTTCATCAATCATGCTGCCCAAATATGTAAAGGTTTTTACATCTTTCAAATCTTCTCCGTCAAGTGTGACTGGATTGGTGCATGCTGTGTTGTATCGGAGAATCTTGCTGCTGTAACACTGATCGTCTTCTCCTGCATTTGTTGTTGAGTTTGCGATAGGAGGGCCAGATCATCTGTGAAGTCTAGATCGTCCATCTGCATCCTAGATGTCCACTGTATCCCATGTTTCCCCTCAGATGTTGACATCTTCATGATCCAATCGATCACCAGGAGGAAGAGGGAGGGTGAGAGTAAGCAACCTTACCTGACACCGGTCTTTACTTCGAACGAATCTGTGACCTGTCCTCCATACACGATTTTGCAGTTTAATCCATCATAGGCATTCCGTATGATATTGACTATCTTCTGAGGCACGCCGTAGTGTGGAAGAAGCTTCCATTGTGTTGTTCTGTTCACGCTATTAAATGCTGTTTCGTAGTCAATGAAGTTGATGTAGAGTGGTGAACTCCATTCATACACAAAATTTAATTTATCTTAACTATAATCCAAGTGACGTTACAATGATGATGAAGAAGTATTTCAAAAGAAATAAACTGAATTATAATGGCTCTGCTTCCTAAATGTTTAACTATTAAATATCATAGTTTTTATCATGATATACAGTAAATGATGTGTATAAAGTTTATACTAGAAATTTGTTATTAAACTATTACTAAGAATTTACTGAATTCATTCTTCTTTTCAATTAATAATAAACTATACTTTACTTGACACTTACCTACGATTTTGAAACCATGTTTTAATTTGTGTCTCAGTTAGATTTAATTCATTTGATAATTCTATCCGTCTGTTTAGTTTTAAATATTTATCTTTCTAAAATTTAATTCAAAAATAGGCAAATAGTTTCATTAAATAAGAATCTTTTACCAATTAATTTATATCAGAAGGGGTTTTGTGGATACTATAGTAATTTTAATAGTTGAGATCATTAGTCAATTAAAGCTAGACCACCATGGAAAACATGGAAGCACTGAACCGTCTCGCGCGCAAACACTTAACCTCTAGGCCCTGAGTTCGAACCACGTGAGGTGTAATCTTGGATGCGTACTGTTGAAGAGTCTCACAATAGGACGAAACGGCTATCCACTGCCTTCAGATTTTTCATGACGGTCTAACTTCAATTGACTCATGATCTCAACTATTAAAATTACAATCCAAATATGTTTAGATGACTAATGTCAATTAATAGATAATTCCCATTTAAGTATTAAAAACATGAAGTTCAATGAAGGGATCCTTTTTCAACAAATTTATTATCTAGTTGTACAGTAAAATGAATGAGTGTGTAAATTGAACTCATCCTGTAAAAATCTTTTTGTTAATTATTAAAAAATGAAACTAAACTCAGAATAAATGATCGATCAGTTATTATTTTTTCAACTACGCTTTTATAAGTTGAAGTTTAAAATTTATTTATTTAAACACATAAACATGAGTACAAGGAGACACCAAATATAAATGCACCACATAAATCATTCGATTTGTGTGTAGGCTCGAATACTGTTCGGCTGCCCATACCGAAGCAGATGGTTTTTTAGGGGACCACAACCGGAGCCTTCGACCCAAAGGTATGATCCACAAGGTAGTGGAACAACGTCAGGAGATTCAGTCCCATGGTAGCCGATGACCAACAATTGGTTCATACACCATTCGTCCCATCAAAATCCTGGAGCCAATGTACATCATTGGTTTGGAATCAGTGTTTTCCAACTCCCCTAGGTAGAACCTTCGTGTCCACCAACCCGGTTAAAGTACGTTCTCTTAAGTTCGTAAACAACACCTCAACCGTGAGAAGGCGGTGAGTAGGACTTTCTTAGCAATGATTGTATGCACATGGCCATGTGAGAGCATTTCAAAAGAGAGAGCTGACTCTCGCCAATCTCGACCGTACCAGAGCATTTAGGGACGAAGTAACCTGAGTGAAAATATCAATGCCAAAAAAAGGAGCTAAGAAGATTTTAGATCTTTAAAATTAGATCACACTATTGCTATTTCATAGACTATTATTTCAGTGGCATGTACACCATTTGAAATATTTTTTGTAAAACTACAATGAATGTTTATCAAAGTAGCTAAACAATGATTTCTCTATGCTCAATAAATATTAGCCAATTTTACATAATACGGATTCAAAGCCATTGGTATTTTTATCAGCTAATGCCATCAAAGATCAACAAGACAAACTGATTCACGTCATCATTTCCAAATAAACTGATTAATATTGCATATGGTAATCAAAAGACTGATAATCTATATTCTATCTTATCTACTGTTCTCATAAATTATTTGAAAAACCTAATATCTTATTGAAATTTTCATGATTACTATATAACTTCAAAAGAACATGAATCCAAATTTTCTTTCACTGAACTCATCATAATTATAAACTTACAATTCGAATATATTCAGTTTGCTTTGTAAAATAATACACATTTCAGTTGTATTTCATAAACATTACATTTGAAGTTGATATTTAATATATATATATATATATATATATATATATATATATATATATATATATATATATATATATATATATATATATATATATTCCCTTGGTGTTGTTTTACTTGTATCTTCCCATTGTTATTCGGGACTGCAATTGATCAGTCTCTTATTGGCATATGTGCAACCTGTGTGAATTGCCACGATATAACCTTAAGTCACAAGCTTACTAAATACAGATGGATAGTGGTTAGTAGTGGAATCTAGGATGCGCGTTTCGTCTTATTTGGGACTCGTCAACTGGATGTAACTGCACCCCGGAGTTGACGTTTACTCCGTGACTCGAACCCAGTAACGTTCGCTTCAAATGCCATCGTGTTATTCACTTACCTACTGAGCCCTGATAGCCACCTACTTGTGCAATGGGGTAAAGTTTAAATTCACTTGGTGTTGTTTTACTTATATCTTCCCCTTGTTATTTAGGACTCCAGTTGATATATACATATATAAGAATGATAATAATATTCAGTAATATCGTATTAGTGAAGTTTTAAGTCATGAATTACAATTCTGTTCATTGTTATTTGTTTGTTTGTTCTAATGTTTATTTCAATTTTTATGTAATTTCAATGAGAATTATTTAGTCTATTGTAAATAAATTTACATTTTCGTGCATAGTTTAAAATGAAAATTTTATTTAGAATTTATGTGTTTTTTAAATATTAAAATTATTGATTTATTATACAGCACAGAATATGAATTACATGATGAAAAATTGAACAAGGACTACGGATGAGATACAGTTTTGTATTCAATTTTAGAGATCACATTGATTGATTATTGACTAGTAACCAATATGACGTTTATGAAATGATCACTTTATAACTTGATCGATCAAATTTGGTTAACAATTAATGACTAGACAAACATAATAGGGGTTAATGCTTATTAACCAGTCAGTGTTAATATATCATTCCTAGATAAGGTTGTAGTGAATGAAAATGTAGTGGAGATAACCAATTTATTGTTTAATGCGAAATCACAGTGCCTTGGTAGAATATGAAAACCATAAATTAAATATATCATTTACACACCTTCCATCAGTTGTCCTCTACACACTTATTCCGATTCCCTTCTGTTTCCCTTCCCGTTCTCTTCAGTTCGATCTTATCAGTCTTCTGCTGCCAAGCATTCCACTTCTGATTGGTGTTACATAACACATATGTGTCAACATAAGTAGCATGCACCACAAGGTGAGCTGTAACCCAGATAACCTGGTGGTGACTTCTCTGACTGAGAAACTGGGTTAAGCAGGCCTGAAAGCTACGTAAAGTATTAATTACCTCGAAATTTCAAGCATACGTCAATGACAAATGTTTACTCGTTCAAAGCCTAAATCTAACGGTTCCTGTGATTGCCTTTAGCTACCGAACACCATCGAGCATCATCATCTATAAGTTTTAGTAATATATGGATTCAACTAGGTCAGAGAATGATAGTTGTGTTATGTTGAGGATTGGCGAAAGTTATGGGTATAGATTACTGTATTTTGACCCAGTCATCTACATATAATGACTTCACTACAAGAAACAAAGGTATATTGCATGATATTATGTTGATCTGAGGGTTGATAGAGCTAAAAAGATCTAAATTAAAAATAAAACAGCTATCCAATATTTTCTGTTTTTTATTCTTTATTGATATCCCTTCGTAACAAAACTTACTACTTTTTATAGTTACTGATAAAATATAATATTTTAGTCGTACGAAAATAATAATGTCAATGTAACTCAATAAAAGCAGTGGATAACCGTCTGTTCTATCTTCAAAGCCGACACAATTAATCTCTACTGGTTACGGCTTCTTATAAGGACTCCGGAAATCACCCACTGAAGCTGGTCATTAGTGAGCCCGTAATCATTTGCAGGACGAGGGGTTGTGGAAATTGTTGAACCGTATCGAAATTACCAACCTGTCTTAGCTGAACAACCCTTGAAAATATGGAAGCAATGGATGCTCAATTCGTCCCATTTCGGGACTACTCAGCAGTGGTTGTCCACAACTCCGTTACCAGAGCTCGAACTCAGAAATATCAGTTCTTCATGAGAACACCTAACCTCTAGACCAACGAATCTGGATGCAGTGATGTACAAATGTAATTTCAATCAGTCCATCTCCCATTACTTTCGGTGGACAGTTACTTCTTCCCCCAAAACTGAAATTTCCGGGTTCAGTCCACCGCGACTAGTTTCTGGATGAGCTATAAACTAAAACAAAACAGACTTCTTTTGCTTCCTGGTCTTTTATTTATAAAATTTAGCATAAATGTTAATAAAATAATACTTTTGATAATAATTTGCTAGCTAACAGATAAGTAATTTTCAAGGGAAATGAAATATTTTAATTTTAGTGAGCTTTTTTTCAGAGTGAAATTTGAGTAGAAAATTCTTACTCTCATCAGGAAGCTACATTCATGATCACTTAAGACTGCTAAATGGTTACTTAGAGAAGTGAATTTGTACAACTCAATACTACAATTGTGGTGTGTGTTGTAACTAAGTTACTTCAACTAGATAGTAAGGATGCTTCACGTTGTTTACTTTGGAGCCTACTACAAATGAATTCAAGTTAACCAGTCTAAATCATTTTGTAAACTTTGAATAGGAAATAACCATAGACAGGTTCTTTGGTTAATCTAATTGAAATAATTTTGCATGTTGTTTGAAATTTTAAGTTAAATAAAATATTGAAATTTGTGAAGCCGTTTGTAAATGAAATTATGACTTATTTACTTCAAAGAATTAAGTTACAACATACTTCAAATTCTGTTTCTAAACGTTCAAGTTGATCTGTTGAATAAGCTTGTCTATGTTTACGTTCGAATTCAAATGTTTGATTAGTTTTAGGTAGAAAGCTTTTACGAAATTTTCTTTTTATCAACCGTTTTTCATTGTAACTATTTGCTTTTGTATTTGCATCAGATTTCAAACACCATTTTTGTGATAGATCATCATCCGATTTAACTATATCAACCATACTTGTATAACTGTCAGAAGATTCATAACCGAATAGATAATTTGGTTTGGAAAATTGATTACTACTATTACCACTACTGCTACGTTGATGATAATCCTCAGTTGCAATAATTGGCTTACAATTGAATTCCAATTCTTTGAATATTATAGGCCATAAGTTACGCCGATGTTTGGATCGATTAGTTTGGTTAATTTTCGAAGATGATAGATCTAGAACTTCTAAAATTAAGTTAGTAACCAGTAGAGCTTGATTTTCTGCTATAAAAATATATATTTATGTGGTATAATTTGTTACATTTATTCTTATTATAATGAAAACGTTAATTATATTTAATAAAATAAAAATAATATTCTTAACATTCACTTGGTGTTGTTTTACTTGTATATTCCCACTGTTATCCAGGACTGCAATTGATCAGTCTCTTGTTGGCATATGTGCATCCTGTGTGGATTGCCTCGATATAGCCTTACGTCACAAGCTTTTCAAGCAAAGATCGATAGTGGTTAGTAGTGGAATCTAGGATGCGCGTTTCATCCTATTTGGGACTCGTCAGATGGATGTACCTGCATCCAGAGTTGACGTTCACTCCGTGACTCGAACCCAGTAACATTTGCTTCAAACACCACGGCGTTATCCACATAGCTGCTCGGATGCATATCCATCGATCTGACGAGTCCCAACTAGGATTCCACTGCTAGCCACTATCCATTTTAAAATATTCTTAATATTTCACTAATTAAACGTAACTGTACACTTGCCATTATTGAGAGTTAATCTTCTTCAGTTTTTCCAATCAACTATTTTATTTCCAGAACATCTCTTCGACAATAAAAAGTCGATGGTTTGTGTAACGTAACCTATTCAAATAAATTATTCATGTCTACACATCTTTACTGCTATTGCTTCTGTTTGACAGCATTTTTTTCTTTAGTTAATAATTGAGTTACATAAGCATTTGTTATATATTTTAAATAGTACTTTCATTAAGATAACCTTCTATAACAAGTTCTATCCGTAAACGTTGACCATGAAATTTACAAGAGAACTTTATTCCACGTAAAAGCATCCGGCCTTATGATGCATATACTGTTTTTGTAAGAAGGGATAATACCTGAAGATTTGTATTACAGCTGGTATAACTTTAGATTGTTAACGAAGAAGGCTTCAGTTTCTTTCCACGACCAAGCCTCTTTTTTAACTTCAGTAACTAACCAGTATTCCTCATATTTTAAACCAGTCTTTACACGAACATTTTTCATCCTCAATCTCGTATAAAAATTCTCACTATGAATTTAGACCATGAAATAAGCTCTAAAATACTATTTGGTGTTTATCAATGAACCAGATAACTTAGTTTATTATTTGAACAACAGTTGGAGAACTATGTTCTGAACCAATAGTCGTTAATTATTGATTACTGCTATTTTCTCATTACTTTCGTGCTATCATTGGCTAGCAAAAGGACCTTGGTACTAGACAGGCAGTTTTAGTGAATCAATCAGTGCTCAGACCAGATTAATACAACTACTATTCTATATTATGATAAGATCACATGAGTGACAAAACAACTCAAAAAAATCTTTTCCCGTCTCATCAGGTTCAGAGAGACGAATGTATATGTATCTGCGATCTGTTTGTATTATGCTTCGGTTTCGTAGTTAAAACCTGATAGTCATTCTTCACTCTTCCCCTTTACTTCATCGGTTGGGAAACGTATCAACCTAATTGAATGTCTTAATAACGATAGTAAAATGTGTGAAACTTGGGACCATCAACTTATAAGAATAGTCTGTTAGCTCCAATCTGTTATTGCTACTAGAATTCATTTAAAAGAAACTAAATATTCCTTGTCCAACTTACTTGAAGATTTTTTTTCTTTAAACCGCAACTAAAAAAGAACCTTATAAACTCTATTCTGATTCTCATGATTTGAATGAATAAATTCTCAATTATGTAATAGTATATAAAGTACTATGAAATTGTAGATAACTGAGTTCAATTTCGAACATCACAGTTATTTGAATACTCTAATCGTTTTTTTTCTAAACTGATTTTTCAGCCAAAAACAGTGCATTATATGGAAGATGACAGATTTAGCTGATACTAATATTTAGGCAAGCATAAATTCAGATAATTATACAACCAGTATAGGGTTGTGGAGATTACTAAGTTATTGGTTGAGATCTTAAACTGATTGATGTTAGACCACCATTGAAAACCTCGAAGCACTGAACGGCCGTTTCGTCCTATTGTGGGGGTTCTCAGAAGCGCACATCTACGATCCTGCTCTCGAGATTTGAACCCAGGGCCTTCAGTCTCGCGCGGCTCATTGGTCAAGTAGGTTAAGCGTTTACGCGTGATACTGAAGGCCCTGTGTTCGAGTCCCGCGAGCAGGATCGTAGATGTGCGCTTCTGAGAAGTCGCACAATAGGACGAAACGGCCGTCCAGTCCTTCGAGGTTTTCAATGGTGTTATAACATCAATCTGTTCAAAATCTCAATCAGTTATACAACCTCCCGCTTAATATTTCCAACTTCACCTATTATTAATTTCCTTCCAAATTTTCTGACTTAGATGATACAATAAATTGCAAACATATTCACATTAAATGATGGATTCGATTTGAAGAATTCTTCAATTCAATATTTATTAATTTACTTACTTGGACAATTATGTGAAGAATTTTTCTCAGTATCATTTACTAATAACAAACTGTTATCATTATCATCTTTACATTCAACATCTTCAGATAGTTTAGGTTGTGAAAAATTATCTTCATTAGTCTGTTTGGAAATCATTAGGTTGAAAAGTTTTAAAAATTCTTCTTTTAATTGTTTATGATTAATGGAATGATGATGAGGATAATAATAATAATAATCTGCTAAACAGTTATTATTGCTGCTTAATCCAACTTGATTTTCAGTCTCATTTTGTGTTGGTTGACTGAGTAAGTGATTATTCAATTCGGATTTAAATAAATTTGATAGATACTTTGTGTAAACCTTTGGATTCAATAAGTTTAATGAGTTGGAACACAATCCTATTTGTATTTCATAGTTTTTATGCTTAACAGCATGATCATGATCTATGAATGAAATAGTATGTTGAATACTGTTGGATAAATCCAAGTTATTTGATGTGAAATTATTTATTGTAGAAACTGTACAGTGTGGATTTTGACTTGATACAGAACTGATGAAATATGTAACTAAAGGAGTAGACTAGAAATAATGATTAATTTTTATAAATATAGAATAAGCATAACTTACATCAATTGAAGAGCTATTTAGTGTAATTGATGATTTTTCGATAGGATCTTGAAGAATTTCAGTAATCATAAATTTATTAGACATCTGTAAAGGAAAATAATTAGCTCTGCATTATAAACTATATGGCAAAATCATGTTTGTATGTTGGCAATAAACACCTATATTTAATTGTTGTCAACGATATATATTTATATATATTCACGATTGTTCACTGGATGGTGATCAATGTCATGTAGTTAAGATAAACCCTGTAGAAATTGTATATAAATCCATTCATTCATAAGTAATCAATAATTTTAGTTTTAGCTATTCAATTTCACTTTGATGCGATATCTTCTAGTTGTAATCTTGTACCGGAAAACTTTATATGGTGATTTTCCGGAGTAAATCATAGATTGTGTGAATAACCACTCGAATATAGACGTTAGTTGATTTCTGAGTACTAGTTGCAATATACTAATAAGCTAAATTGTAGAAGAGTGTAGTGAATTAAACTCAATTAAAAATGTACACTATTGAATGCCACCTTAGTGGTCTAGAGTTAAAGCCCTCACCACGAAACCTGAAAGTTTTGAGTTCGATCCCCAGAGGTGGTGTTAGTGGTATGTACGGCTTAAAATCAGTTTTCCAGTACATCCTAGTTTTCAATGATTGTCTAAATAAGAAAAATACATGATTTGACCTATGGAAATTGTTAAACGTATTTTTAGGAAAACTGAAAGTACTTCAATAATGGTTATTTTCATATTGACCCTCTCTAACAGTGGACACTCGTTTATTCGAATTGATAGTGTTTAAGACTGGGATCAAAGATATTATCGTTACTAACGGTGAACAAGTAGCCATAGTTTTCTGTCTTAGATTCAATAACACGCAACACATTCTAGTATATGTAAGCAATTTCACGAGAGTGTTGTCATTTTTTAAATCATACCTCCACTCAACCAACTTAACTTGGAGACCTTCTAGGGCTACAGACAGTCCCAAACTCATATATCAAAGGAGGGTTTGGCATGGAGTTAGCAACCGCATCCTATAGAAAAAAACTTCCTAAAAGACTCTAACCATAAAAATTATTTAATCATTTAAATTCTGCTTTGGGAGTTGAAAGGTCTTTATTTAGAAAAGTTATGACTCCTATTAGTGAAACCTGAGACTTTTTCGACAGTCAGAAGTCTAATGCTCCTTCTGACAGCTATTGCAATATAGGTACATGGAATACAAATAGAATATGCGGAAAAAAAATGCAGATGAAGACAGATAATGTAGCAGTGGCTTCTACAGAGAAAGGTCTCAATATTCACAAGAATAAGATCAAGATACTGAGGCAAAACAAAGCGAGCGTCAACCAAATCACACTTGATAGCGGAGATCAACAATAATTCGAAGCATTCACATAAGTCGACGCTACCACGAGTAAACAAGAAGGACCTCATGCTAGTGTCAAGAGACGAATTAACAAAACGCTGCAAACATTCCTACAACCGAAGAACAAAACAACTATCAACCGACACTAAAATCATAATTTTTAACACAACCGTTAAAACAATCCTACTGCATACAACTGAACCTGAGATAACTCCCAGTACCAACACCTAGAATCCACATGTATTTATAAATAGCTGTCCATATAATATACTCCATATCCATTCTCGAGAGAATGAACTTTAAATTCCTTTAAATAGATTTACTAAATATCGTGGTTACTCAATGGTGGTTTCAAATCATCAGTCCATTTTACAAACAATTATTCATATATTTAATCATTACTTGGTGATATGATTAATCAACTAGGGTAAGTACATACAGTATTCATGAGCTGAGAATTGACATAGTAATCTGATTTTGGTTGAATTTATTCCTTCTAAAGTAATTTAATAGGTTAACAGATAACTATATCATCATGTGTAAGAATGAGCGGCAGTCATTTGACTTATACAATTACAGAAATTTCCTCTCAATTTCAAACAGTCGCCATTAAGTAAACACGCATCATGTTGGGCGATTTCACTCAGTTGTTTTATTAAGCAGTTCTACTTGGAGTTTTATAACCTATAAGTTATTTGGAATGACCAATTTTGTTGAACAGATTGGTTTCTCATAGCAAGTTTTTTATTTAACTACTTGTATAATTAATAATAAGTAGTTAAAATTTACAAGTAAAAATGTGATACAAATCTAAAGAGAAGTTTGTTAACATAATCTAGTGTTGTCTGTATTTCAGTAGATATAATCCACTCTATTAGTTATAAAATTTAAAAGTTTAAGATAATGGACTTTTGATACTTTATCACCTAAGAAATCATTTTTCTGTACTTATTTAGAGTCATCTTGATCATAGCTGATGCAAGACAGTTTAAGCAATCTCCTATGAGGATCAATATTCACGAAGTGTTTTACTACATAGCTAAAGTGGGATCTGCTTTCTTACTTTACTAATGTGAATCGTTTTGTAAAGTATTTCGATCATTTTTTTAGAAATACACAGTAATAAATTCAGGCTCATTGTTAAGTTCTTTTCAAACTGAAATACAGTTAGAGAACAGAATGAGATTTTTCAACTTAGCAATATAAAAAGCGATTCTCTGTATTCTAGTAGGGCCTTTTCCAGATTATATTTACTGCAGAGTCACTCAAAATTAGTTGACAGAATATATTTTTTCTTGAATGAGGTGTCTATTATAACGACAAAACAACCGCCTAGTAAAATAGTTCTATGAATCCATTATCAATGACTTAAGTTGATAAAATAGATATTTTGTTTTAGATTTCAACTTAACGAATAACAAAAGTTTGATTACCTATAGAAGAAAAAAAACTAAGAATATTTAAAATAGAATATAATTGTCATTTATATCGAAGTAGCCAGCCAATATATTATAATGAATTATTTATCGGATAAGAACTTTCAAGGGTGTAACTCTACATTTTATGTTATATATATATATATATATATATATATATATATATATATATATATATATATTAGTAAAATTCCTTGGAAGCTGAAGATCGTAACTTTGCCAGGTTTCTGATCAATTAAATCCCATTAAAAAGAAATTTGTTTGAAGCTTAGTTCATTCAGTTCCTTTTAATTATATAATTAAAATGACTTAATCAAAGCTGTGATTGCCTTCAATATACCATGTATGTTGAAAATAATAAGTCACAGTAATTTACTAGAACAAATTCGATTTACTTGCTTTGGTGATTTTAGTAAGAAATGGTACAGTTTTTAAGATAGTTTTCATCAATGAAGAAATAATTGCTGAGAAAAATAGCTGAAGCACTAAACTTATATTTCATCTTCTATTGAGATTCTATGGTAATAACAAATTACAAACCTGTATGTTCTAAGTTTCATTCTGTTCTGGGTTATAGATATACACTGTGGGGGGAAACTTAAATGAAAACAAAAGAATCATCCACTTATCTTTAGTTCCCATCACAAACCAATGATAATGCTTTCAAATTATTAGATTTATTGTGCTCATAAAATATACTTATAGGATGATTTTTTTATTATGATAAAAGCAATATGTTAAACATTTCACTGACAGGCTAATAATTAAAGGTAATATTAAAGGTTAATAAATAAAAAGAAATTATTCACAATTAATGTTGAATTTTCTCAAAGTAAATTTGACATACCTCAAAAAATCATTATTGTCTTGACAACAAGATCTAGTTGTAAATACTTAATGAGAATTAACGTAATGCAGAATTGAAATTCACATAAGGTTTATTTTAAGTTGTGTGTTTTTTCATCATTGTGACTTCCTATTCACACTTGCTTCTTCATTCAATGTGTTCCATGATTTACCGATCTTTTCAACTAACCTAAACACCCACCTCCTTGCTCCTATAAAATGTTAATAAAGTTCAGATTTGTGTCACTAGGGTAACAGAAAAATTTTCATATTTTTGTCTTTCGTATATTAAAGGAAATACAAATACAAATATCATTGGATAGAGGAATTTATTATCTTCTCTCTCTCTCCGTTTCGTGAATTCTGCTTAGTATTAGCCAATAAGCAATGCTAAATTAATTTACCTGTAATAAGGTAGGAAACGAAGAATAAATTTTGATTTTGAGATAGCTCTCGCCGCTGATTTCATCACTGAAAATCTCGGAGTACTGGACGACTGTTTCACCTTAGTCTGAGACTCCTCAGTAATAGACACCTGTTTTAGTGAAGTCATTCTGTAACGAAACGTTTATATTAAAGCCCAAACTTTTATAATGGGCTATACTTGTTAACAGAAAACTGAATAAAGTTATTTGTGATCACGGAAAATGAAAGTTAATTTGTTGACGAAAGTTTAGAAATATCAAACTGATCACTTCACAGGTTCTTCAAATGGGATACGATGTATTTTGCTTTATACAGAGTTTATAGGTTGATTCATTCTATTTTATTTAAATACCTTTTTGAAATGTTTGACTTTGATGTGAATGTTTAATTTTAAGGTTACCTTAAAATATTAAAACGAACTCTTTTGTCTAATAACATACAGGAAAATGTATACATCTCATAAGTTAATTTAAACTAAAATTAAACTATTGTTCAACGATCTATAGATTCTTCCGAATGATTTAAAGTTGTATTTCTTTTTTCTTGTTACAAAATAAACTAAAATCGAAAATATATTAGATGGCTGAAGAAAGCCGATAGGTACGATCGTATCTAGGTTTTACATTAAAGTATGGTTTACAGTTTAGTTATCGATTTAGTCCTCATATAAATTGAAAATTCATTATGTGATCGTACGTAATCCATTACAATTGTTGGTATTTTTGACTACTGAATTTAGGATTTTACATTACTTAAAACTGTATTTGTAATTAAGGTGAACCATATGTAGACGATTCAAAAAGCTTCACCATACTTATGGATCTACAAGTAGAATGGGTTATTGTTAAAGAAGATAAATAGCCACAACGAATACATAACCTCACAGAGAAAATAAAAACAGAAGACACAAATTATCAGTCATGGAAAGCAACTGTTTGCGTCAATGATAATTAAATGTGAGTATGGGGGTTTGCGGAAATTACTCACTATTATTGAGATCACGAACCGACTTAACGTAGATAACTATTGAAGACCAGGAATCCCTGGACACTTTTTTCGCCCTAGTATGGGACTTTCAACAGTGCATATCAGCAACCCCGGCGAGGATCGAACTCAGGATCACCATGTCTCGTGGCGAGAGTTCAACCTTTAGATCAATCAATTCGAGACATTGTAAAACCATCTTCAATTGTCTTTGATGGATAAATAACCGGTTATATATTATCAGAAACTGTTTTTTCCGGCTGGTGAGTAGATAGATAATTAAAGCAAATGTCTTGCTTGATAAAACTCCGACCGTGACACACTTAAACAGGGTTTGGGATGAGTTGCTAACATATATCTTTTAGAAAAACATTGATCATTAGTGACTTTTCCTACGGTTCTTAATAGTAGTCCTTGATATCACTTTAGATTCTTTTGAAATACATCTTTGTCATTGCTACCCATTCAGTTTGAGAAAATTATAGTGCATGTCTAAAAGTAGTGTTTAGTCTTTCAGAACCATGTAATAAGCTTCATTATAAGGATTATCATAGAAATACTACTGACTAATGATTGATCTCATTGCTAGGCTTCTAAAAATTCCCCCGTTCAACTGTCTATGTTGTTCCCATTTGGTTTCATACTACCAATCGTTCATACTAATTACTAAAAGCGAAAATATGTCGTGGTCCTTAACAACCGACTAACATTCATGTAATCAAAAAATATATCAAAATAGACGCAATCTATCAGATAATTCAAAAATGATAAGCAACTACAAGATCATAGATCAGGTTATAGGAGGAGACGATCAAAATAATTATGTTAAGAGTAACAGCAAAACTATGGACAATAACTAAACAGTCACCCTGGTAACAAAAAAATGCTAATCACTTGGTTAGAAATTCGAATAGATCAATTAACCTTGAAGTGTACGTTGATAATTCTGTTTAAAAAGACAATAAATGCTTGTTGAATAATGCATCAAATTCAGAGAATACAACTACAAATTTCTCCTCCTCATTTTCAGATATTCTTCGTCATCTCAAAAATTTGAAAGCCAGTTGTTGTCTAGTGCATTTCGCCTAAAATCTGTGTGATTGATTAATTGTGAAATTTTTGTAATTATCGATGCAAAAAAATGACAGTTAGTTACAATAAACAAATTTAATTTGAATATCTGATGCTTCTTATTTCCCTGAATTCTAACAAGTTTTGGTTTTGTAAGAAATACTTTATAAATGTTGAAAAACAAACTTTTATCAATTTGATCATCCCTATGAATTGGTATGCATGTTCTACGAACTTTTACATGATATATTGTTACATAACTAACGTGGTGCGTGCTAATTATATTGATATAAGTAGTACAGTATGCGAGTCAGGAATGTAATGTCCGGCAGCAGAAGATGAGGGAAGATCAATAAAGCAAGAGCGGGAATAGAATGCAATTTGTATGAGAAGGCAAGGGCAATGAAGTCTGAGGCATTTTGGAACAATTGGTGGACATTTTGCAAATTAACGATTTGATATATAGTTCCCAGATTTTATTGAGATGCTCTGTAATTTTGTGTCAAATACATTCGGTTGTCCCCACCCGTGTTCTTGATCACGACACTAACACACATATCGATTAAACCCACCAATGATTTTGAGTTATTAAAGAAGTTGATGAAATCAATTATGTAATGCATGTAAAATATTACTTAAATAACATTTGTATTTGTCAATAAATATCTGTAAATTACTCGAAAGTTTCAAGTTGAAAAAAACTCAACACACACTGATCAAATGAAATAAATAAAATCGATCATCTACCTTGTTGAACATTTCATCTAGTTGAACTTAATTTATTTCTACATATCAGATTCCTCAGTGATAATCGTTCATGTTTAATTCTATGGAGTTATTCAGATTGACTTTAAAAAATCTTTACTAATTAAAACTATTTTTAGAAATCTAATTGCCTAGTTATTTAAATAACCAGTTCAAACTATTCATCTGAAAGAAAGCAACACTGAGAAACTAATCTAATTAGGTTGAAAAGTTCTCCCTATCAACATTTCATTCATACAGTGTTTATTAAATACACTTCGTGTACCCTACCATATATCAAAGCTCCAAGCAAAACTTATGTCCCTTAAAATGAATAGATTTTCGCATATTACAAATAATTATTGAAAGAAGTTTATATATATATCATTTACATGGTATTCCGATCATAGATGTAGAATATCTTGTAACCACTATTTATTATTGTTATTTAAATAATTGTGGTCCTGTAACAAATTCAAGTTAATAAATCTGCTTGAGACAAACTAAAAATGTTCGCTCATCATAATCTGCCATTACTATCATTATTAACAGAATTATTAGTTTTTTTTAGATTATTGCTATTACTGTTGTAATTAATACTAATAGTAATAATAGTAGTACTAATAGCATGATATGATGGAATAAACAAATTGGCAAACTATGTTTCAGTTTTAATTCCATGGGAAATTTTTCAAAATACTTCCAGATGAATAAAATTATTTATTCTTCTCATATATATATATATAACAAACTGTTTTTTAGTAAGCCATAAGAGAAGAAGCTCAACAACAAAACTAAAATGAAATTAAAACTCCGTATAAGATAGATGAGTTTAATTGCCTCATTATAATGAAGTGGAAAAAAGCAGACATTTTCCCACTGAATAATGATCAGATTTTGTTCAATCTTATTCAAGATGATAGTGATAGCGATGACAACGACAACAACAGTAAGAACGATAATCGTGATAATGTTTTTTTAGAGTAAAAACATAACGAAGAAAACACAAACATCATAAAAACAGAAACAATTTACCTGGATGATTTATTATGATTGTTAGTTGTTTGTTGCATATTTGATGGATAAATGTAATAGTATTTAGTTTTGTGGTCTATTACTGTATTGTGTCTCTTTAACATGCAAACATTTTAAGAAGGGATGAAATGAAAGTCTTTATATATATATATATATATATATATATATATATATATATATATATATATATATATATATGGAGAGAGAGAGACTATGATGTTACAGTTCGCTTATTAACGCTTGTTAAAATAATTCATTTATAGCCATCTGTTCTTGTGAGAACCAAGGAATATGTTTAGATTTCTTTTTTTAGTCTGTGAGTTGAAAAAACAAGATGGAGGAAAACGATTTAAATAGAAAGGGAAAACTAAGACGCTATTAGTAGTATATAATTACAACATAATAGTTTTACGACTTTGTATGACTAATAAATTGATACACATAAAGTTATTACTTCTCCCCAAAATACACCAGTCTATATCTAGCTTTTATAAAAAAAAGTTTGTTTTTTTCCACATCACAGTCAAATATTTTAAAAATGAACAACATGTTTCAATAACTTCAAGACTGTAAACATGGCGTGAATAGCCTTGATGCGGAAGTGTACTTTTCATATTTTTCCGAAGCTTATATCACAAACCGAGAGTGAGGCTTAAGTAAAATGCAAAATGACAAGATAATCATCGCACACTGATTCTTTGTATATGCTAATCACAGTCAAAGTTTGATGCTGTTCACATCCAAACATTGAGAGATGAATCAAATAAATCCCCAAGTTATGATTACAAAAAGACTTCTCAAGAAAATGTATTCTAGTAGACAATGAGCGTATAGCATACAGTACAAGTTTAAATTCATTTTAAATCACAACTAGATTTGGGTCAAAAATGTCAGATGATGGAATATGTTACGACTGTTATTATTATAGAAACTGTGGATTAAGTACAACAAAAAAGGACATAATCACTCTGCTGTCAATAGTCAGTATTTTTAATCACACCAGTACCATTATTCCCACTTATTAGTAGCGAGATATAGTAAGAATGAGTGGTCTCAATGATCATCGTGCTCAAATAGACTTCAGAAAGGTGTACTACTACAGAAGACCATTGTTGGTACTTTTATTATGCTAAAATAGCACGTTTCATAAATAGAATCTTTTACTTAAGTGATCTGAAGTAGTGGAATTCATCTCTCAATCTCTTATTATGGAATAATGTAAGTAGAATTTTGTGGACATATTCATCCGCAACGATGGTGTTATAAAGATATTTTTGGCTTGTGGTGATCGGAATATTAATACAAAGCCACTTATTGATAGCAACCGGGAGAATGTATACCTTATAATTGTATTCGCTAACAGGGATTGGAAGCAGAAGAGACCTGAGTTAAAAAGTTTTTAAAGAGGGGATACTACTTACACAAGATAGGACTGAAGTCCCTATTGAGTGTAACACTAACAAAATTTTCCTTGTGGTTCGAAAATTTCAGGGGAAAAGCTATGAGCAGATACTTAACACGATTTGTCTAGTAATTCCCAGATTTTCAGGTAATTGTCAACTCTATTCCCGAATATTATTACAACACTGATAGAATAAGTGGGCAAAAGAAAATCAGAGGTTGATATCTCTCCTGATTGACTAAGACTTCTAGTTGATTAAATCAAGACATAAAAACAGAAAGAATGATCAGAGACGGGAACAATTCCAAATTCCAGTTGACATTTTGCTACCGAGTAATAATTGACAAGCTGTTCGAGTCGCAACTGATCAGTTGACATTGTCCGTAAATATGGGACGTGTTCTGTGTCATTACGATTGGAAGTACCTTCACAAGGCTAGTAAGAATCAATGCTAGTACTCACTCATGATGAATCGTCAGAAAGTCGAGACGTTCACTTATCTGAATCCTTGATTGTGGTGTGACAAATGAGATCAATTTGTGTTTTTAGAAAACCTAAGAGCCTTATGCCAATTTGAGCCGTTTTTGACGCCGTCGTGGTGTTGGTTCAGCTGCAAACGTTCGAGCTCACAGCACATAAGTGAAAGCAGTTCAGTTTAATGTCTGCACTAAGGATGTGTGCAGACTTTCAGTCTTCGGACATGGTTATTTTTGCAGAAATGCTGGCATACGTTGGCGATGCTACATCAATAATCCCGAGGTTCGTCAATTTTTCTACGAGTGATGATAATTCAAACGATATAATCACCTGGAAACGTCGACTTTGGTGGTTTAGTTACGTTCCATCAGTGGCTTTCATAAAGGGCATTGTTTACCAAAGATAGAATTGGGTACAAGAAGATAAGAAAAACCGGTTCATGGCATAGAGTCATGGTACGACTTGTATCTGCAAGCCCACTGTGACTTTATTTAAGGTTCTAACAGCCATGTAACTCAGTGACTTGAGACGTTATCAGGTATGGCATAAGATAGAAGTTGTCGGTGATTCTGCAGCAGTTTCTGTTACAATTCATGGAATCGAGATGAGTATCATAAACTGAAAGAAATCTTTTTCAGCTACATTTCTATCAAATATTATTTCCGTTCACTTGTTTATTGATTGCACTATCATACTCTCTTACTCCCTCACATTTGCAATACCAGCGTATATTTCCCAACTCACAAGATTAATATTTCGCAGTTTTTAATTTTTTGATTTTTATGTAACCGGCTGCGTGTCATGATAAAATACATAAATTACCATCTTGACCAGGAACAACTGAGATTTTACATACCGGAATTTAGTGGGAAATGTAAAAACGTTACCTAAGGGCTTGAAGATGATTTAGTTATTCTCATCTGTCAGCAAACATAATTACTTTTAACGTATCGCAAAGCAAATTTCGTTGCATTTCAGTATGCTTGTGAAGAATCAATCCTTACCAAGTAAGACACTTGGCCATTTCACTAACTTATCAGCAACCAAAAATTAAGCATCACGGATAAAAGAGACTAAATGGTATCAACAAAATTTATTTATGCATCTCCAGGACACAACTGTTTAAGGAGTAGCTTAATGCGGTGTTTCATGACAGGCTGTCCTTTTCTTGTCAACTTCTGCATTGAGATGTTACGTTCTTTCCGTTTGTGAAGACGCTCTTCTCGTTTTTTCTCTATCGCCTTTTTCTTTTCAATTTTTATCTATTAATTAAAAAACCTAAAACAATAGAACGAACGTCTTTTATTTGCTTTTGTCGAGCTATAAGCTCATGAAACTTGGCTTTTTTAGTATTTTGTCCCTTTTCTTTTTTACTATTATGCTGTGAACTGGAAAAAAATACTTAAGGAAGATGTAATTACCTTTTATGAATAGTACCCCGCTTCTCTTTGGTCTGACCTTGTTTCATTGTTCGCGGATATGCAATATCCAATTGATTTCTTTGCGCTCGCTTCTTTTTATTTCGATACAATTTCAGATATTCAGTTATGTTCAACTGGTAGTAGTCTAGGCACTCGACTACACATATACTAGTCAGTTTTCTAGTGATTCGCAGGTTTGTATATCTTGCAGCGTTTGTCTCAAGTCAGTAGGGGTTAAATGGTAATTACCATATTTCGCTCAAGATAGTTAGGTTATTGAGATCACTTAAATCTGGGACACGCTTTCACTTGGAGCTTCAGGCTTAAACTGTGTGCCATTTAAAGATCATCGGCATCTAGGTATGATCTCCCAAATTTTATGGTGTTGCATATGTCGTTTCTATACATAAGAAACAAGAGTGAACCCAATACACTCCACTGGATGACTCAACTAGTTATTGGTCTAGGTGTTGAGAGAGATTCCTTGTACTTTACTATTAGCTTACGTTCTGTTAAAAATGAGGAAAACCATGAATATAGTTGGCTGTTGATTCCGAAGGACTTTGATTTGACGAGAATCCTTTTGTATGGGACCTTATCAAAAGCTTTCTTAAAGTCTAAGAATAGAACTAATACAAGGATTCCGTTGTTTCGTTCTAGGGTCATATCAATCAGGTAGTCTACGGGGGCATGTATCGCATGATCTAGACCTAAGAACTCCAAGCCGGGAGGTCGAGATGAGATTATTAGTAAGTAGATGTTGAAATACTGCCTCCTTAACTAATTGTTCCATCACTCTAGATACCAATGAAATTATGTTTATGGACCGGTAATTTTCAACATTTACTTCAGGTCCTGTCTCGATTTCGGGAATGATATGTGTAGTTTTCCAGGTAGTGAGGTAACACGTTGTATAACACACAGATCACCACCTCCACTTTTTAGCATGCTAGCCGGAATACCATCTGGTTCATCCGTGTAGGAATGTATTATTGTACTGATTACCTTAGAAATATTCTGTCCATTGAAGTTAACATTAGTAATTTCACAGGAAAGTACTGAGGAGCAAAGGTGTTCACTAAATAATTCCGTAACAAGTTTAGGATTTTCATACACTTGTTTGTTTTTATAAGTGCGTTTACTCCTTTTGATTTAGTGCACGCAAGTTTGCTTTAAAAGAGCCTGATAAGTGCAGGGGAGTCATTATTAATTTCGATAGCATGTTTTCCCTGAGCGATTGCTTATGTGTTCGTATTGTTTCTGTCCAAACTATTGTTTTTGTTATCGTAACTAAGGAGGAAAGGTCATTAAGGTTAAGGAATCGAGTACAATGTCTTCAAAGATGCCTTCGCGGATAGACCGGTGTATACAGATCTTCAGAAAACTTACTTACTTACTTACGCCTGTTACTCCCAATGGAGCATAGTCCGCCGACCAGCATTCTCCAACCCACTCTGTCCTCCGCCTTCTTTTCTACTTCCATCCAATTCTTGTTCATTTTTCTCATGTCTATCTCCATTTCTCGGCGTAATGTGTTCTTTGGTCTTCCTCTCCTCTTCACTTGGCCTTGAGGATTCCATGTGAGGGCTTGTCTTGTGACGCAGTTGGGTGCTTTCCTCAATGTGTGTCCTATCCACTTCCAGCACTTCTTCCTGATTTCTTCCTGATTTCTTCCTCCACTGGGATCTGGTTTGTTCTTTCCCACAGTTGGTTGTTGCTAATAGTGTCCGGCCAATGGATCTGAAGTATTTTGCGTAGACAGTTGTTAATAAACACCTGTATTTTCTGGATGATGGCTTTCGTAGTTCTCCAGGTTTCTGCCCCATACAGTAGAACTGTCTTGACATTTGTATTGAAAATCCTGACCTTGGTGTTGGTTGACAGTTGCTTTGAGTTCCAGATGTTCTTTAGTTGTAAATATGCAGGTCTTGCCTTGCCGATCCGCGCCTTCACATATGTATCAGATTCACAGTGTTCATCAATGATGCTGCCCAAATATATAAAAATTTTATATCTTTCAAATCTTCTCCGTCAATTGTGACTGGATTGGTGCATGCTGTGTTGCATCGGAGAATCTTGCTTTTCCCTTTGTGTATATTGAGACCTATTGCTGCTGAGGCTGCTGTTGCAAACTGTCTCTAGCTGGTTTTTTGTTGTAACACTATAATGCAATTCTATTACTTAACGTCTTCTTACACAACGTTGACTGGGCGTTAGGTCTGGAGTGAATTTAATGCTCTTGTGTGAAACTAATGAGCTAATATTTTTGTTTGAAACAATAAATTGTTTAGCATCGTTATAACAGCTAAACTTAAAGAAGAAAGGGCATGTTGATTTATCCGACCTTTCTCTCAAGCGGATGACCTGACAGCTGACGTTCAACATTCCACATGTTTTAAGGCACGCATCCCTCAACTTATTTGAGTATGTGTAGTCATGGAGATTGTGTGCAACTGTACCGTGGTACGACACTCTTTTCGTTACTTCTTACACCAGAAACTCGGAATTACACTCAACCTTAGTGAGTTGTTCATGATTTTTATTCGGTATAAGGTCCCTTTATATTAATGAGGGGTGCCATTGATTAAGTCCACGGTTAATTTCGGCAAAAGAGTTCTGTGATTGACGGATATCAGTACTATATTGATTAGTATTTTCGTACATGTGAGACAAAGTATTAGACTGTTCGGTTTTTGAAATTTCGGTTTTAAGCCTTAGCAAAACTTACTGCTGACAGACTGTGTCGACCTTCGATGCATGTAGGCATTGTGTCTTTAGTGTTAACCAGTCTTCCAGTTGGCATATTGAACGAAAAGATAGAAGTGTTGTCACATGGGGAACCAGGCAGTGATAGTAATATTTGTGGATATGACGCACAGGGTTCAGAAGATGAGGGCTTGACATCATCATGTACTGAATAACTGACATAGGTGTTACAGATCTTTACCATTTATTGGCATAGGAATTGGTGAGATTTCTCTCTTATTGAAGCTACTGACCATAATTTGAAGCTGGGTGAGTAGAGAGCTCGTTTAACACAATAGAATATCCGAGTACATTGTTATTCATAAGCAGTAACCGGGCTAATACTAGGATCAAGGACCATGGGTATATAATGTATTTCAGATGTAGGGTGTTCAGCTATATCGTAAGAAAGTAAAGATCAACTGAATATTTATATTTTAATTAGAATATTCAGAAGATAAAAACGCGTCAATGTCAACCGCTGGAGGCTTATGTAAGATACCTAGGAAATGGAGTCCGCGATAGGTATGTATTAACTGGTGATTTTCCTGGGGTAAAATGTACCCAGTACAATACAGCCCACAAAAGAACAAGTCGAAAAACTTCTAAACCACGTTAGAAAGTGTTATTACTTTCAAATCAGATACTGATCTTTCAGTAGCTCTCGTAAGTCGCCCATGAAACCACATTCAGAAAGGGTTGTATCCTGTTTGTTGAGATTAACGTATGGAGCGCCGACGTCTCCAGCTAGAATTATTACAAGCTCACTTATTCATGTGTGATGTTTGAAGATGACCATGTTTCGGCGAAGACTATGATCTGAAGGTCTAACTGAAAGCACATATTTTTGATTCCAACTGGTTTACTCCATAGTCCTCTTAGGTTGCTATAGAGGCGCTGGAGGATTTGTCCTGTTGCACGGTGCTGCTCTACTGCAGCATGTCATCTGATCTTTAGGTAGATTACTGTTTCAGGTGTGCCGGCCAGTTCCGTACGAATTACCGCCGTCGGTTTTGGCCAGTATAGCGTGTTCCATTTCCGAGTCCGCGTTATCTATTTTCTGAACAGTGAGTTGTTGACCACTACCATCTAACTTTATTGGGCTTTTCTGCTGTTACCTGACTAATTGAGATCGACTTTCACAACATCTGATGTGGCTGAAGACGTCAATTTTTCAGCTATGTCAGGCCTGAAGGATCTCATTTAAGTCCTCGCGTTTCTGTAATTCACAGCCGTCCTCTCTTGACTAACTTGCTTATTGTGAGAGAGGATTGGACAGCAGCCCTAGATAACAGTCTGTCTGTTGATGTGATATTCATAGATTTTAGCAAAGCATTTGACAAGGTTTCACATGTAGGTCTTATGCAGAAACTCACGAGCTTCGGAATAATAGGTACTGTACATGAGTGGATAGGAAATTTCTTATGTGACCGCAGACAGAGAGTGAGGGTCAACGGGACGCTATCCGAATGGAAGCCGGTCAAAAGTGGTGTACTCTAACGCACCATCTTAGGCTCTCTGTTCTTCCTCCTACGTTAATGAGTTACCTCTGTTGTTTAGGTCGTCGACATTATTGTTTGTGGATGATGTAAAAATCTGGAGAACAATAAAAAAGGCGGCTGATCATCTGGATCATCAAGTTGACTTAGACGATTTAGTTAGATGGGCTCGAGAGTGGGGCTTGGAAATCAATGGTAGGAAGAGTGTGCTAATGCACATCGGTCACGGTAATAGTTACCGTCATACTATTGAGGGTAAACCTCTTCCATGCGTTCAAGAGTATAAAGACTTCGGAATAGTAATAAGTCATGATTTAAAAACAATTACGCATTGCAAGGCAGCCGCTGTCAAAGGTTTTCGTGCGTTATGGTCACTTCGCCGAGCGTCCAAATCTTTTGACGAGGAAACGTTTCGAATTTTATATCCCATATATGTAGGACCACATTTAGAGTGCTGTATCCAAGCAGCTAGCCCGTGTTTGGTAAAGGATACTAACTCCCTTGAGCGTGTCCGGCGTGTGGGACTGAAATTAGTGAAGGGTCTTCTAGACTCCCTTACGATAAGCGTATAAAACGCCTAAACCTTTTCCCCTTGTCGTATCGTAGGTCACAAGGTGACCTTATACTGGCATTTCGTATCTTCAATTATGATTTAGGTGTTAATATGTCTCATCTTTTTGCTCCCCACAGCACTAATAATCTCCGAGGTCATAGCAAGAAGGTTCATAAGCCATGATCTAATAAACTTAAAGTGGGGTCCCGTTTTTCTCATCGAGTAGTCAATGATTGGAACGCCTTACCCGAACAAGTGGTATCAGCCCTATTAGTGAATACTTTCAAGGAGAAGCTGGACCTTCACTGGAAAGTAGTGTGTCAGGATTAATACAGGTTCACCAACCTACTATCCTTATTACTGAAGACTGAAGACACGGAGATTTGATGTTCATGAAGTGTGACGGACAAGGTAGTCTGGATACGCTTATTGCTGTA